GTTAGGGTCTGAGAGAAGCCTCCAAGGAAAGACCAATAGCCACATATGCAAGAGCGCTTTATTAATCCCAACATCGGGGTGGCACATGGCGACCCCCCAAAAAAGGTCACAAGCTCCTTTTAAGTGGAGTTAGAGGAATTCCAGAGAGGAGGAATTAGTCTGGGGGTGATTGATGGGAGATTCTAGTGGTTAGGGACCTTCCAGCAACAGGGTAGGGAAAGCTAACTTTAGTTATCAGGAGACTAGGTGGCAGAAGGTGGGGGGAGCAAAGGGGCTTTGGGGGCCTACTTAGCCAGAAGAAGGGGCCCTGGGATGTCTGCTGAGTTAGCAGAAGGCTGTGGGGCGCCTGCTGATTGGTTGCTCCTAAACTGTAGTTTTCCTGAGGACTGACTGTTTAGCTCTGTCCCATGCTAGTGAACCAGCTAGTCTCTGTGGGGCTACTAGTAGAGTCTGATCTGCCCCGCCCTCCCCCGCCCCCAAGCCCTCTCAGTAGCAGTTAGAAGGGATACAGTCCTCCATGACAGCAGCGAAAGATGGGGCTACAGAAACAGAGAGACCTGGTAGAATACAGTGTCCAGGAAATCCCCTAAGCTATAAGACCTCAAGACACTTTCTTCAGCAAGAGCTCACCTCCTAGGTTCAACAACCTTCCAAAGCAGTGTCACTGGCTGGTTTCTAAATATATGAGGCTGAAGGATTAAAACCATCACAACAAAGAACCCTATGGATCTTAGGATTTCAGCCGTTTTCAGAACTGGGCCCTAGTGAACGCTGTTTCCTGGGAGACTGTTACTAAGTAACTTCACAAAACTGCCGCCCCTTCTTTTCTGCGTGTTGTATTTTGGAAAGTAGAAACAGGTTTCAGAAAGCATCTCCCACTTGGCCACTACTCCAAGCTCACTCTTCCCCACCAGATTTCCTCTTTTCCACTCCCTAAGTCACATCTTGCGACAGTGATTCAGAATAGCCCTTCACATCAGGAGCCTTCACGTAGGGTACAGGGGCAGGGAAAGGCTTGATGCCTTAGGGCCCACCAAAGAAATTTTCCTCCCACAGGAAAACCCAAATACGCCTTTGGTTTATTATTGTCTTCATTCTGTATACTTTTCAGGGTTTCCTTTTGATTTCTACTGACCTGGCGCATGAAACAGTCTCTAAACAACAGCCAAATCTCCACACCTGGGGAGGTCTGAACCTGCTAAACCGACCATGGAGAGAACAGCCAACCCACTGATTGCCGGTTCACAATTCAACCCAGGAAGTAAACAACATTCCGTCCCATGGGAACTGTAAACCTGGAAGATGAAGGCCCTGCACCCTGGGTATTCAAGCCCTTGTGAAACAGTTTCTCTCTGGAGTCCTAAGAGACCTAGAATAAGGCTGACCAAGTTAAAGGGCTGAACAGGGACAAGGCAGGGGGAGGGGGATATATGTATGTCAGCATATGTAGCATGTTGTGTGCCTGTGTTTATAACCTGTGGATAAGAGTGAGGTTTGTAGATCTGAACAGGTGGCTAAGGAACTTGTCTGCATGTGCACTGGTAGGTGTGTGTGTGTGTGTGTGTGTGTGTGTGTGTGTGTGAGTGTGTCTAAATCATGTCTGCTCTTTAGAGACTGCCTTCTTTAGTTGGATTGTATGTTTTATGTTTACTATGACTGTCCTGTGCTTAATTAAAATTGTTTTCTATCAATGTCAGTCTCTGTGTGTGAAAACTCCCGTCCTGAATTTATTTTAATAAAATATGACAGAAAATGGCAAAGGCTGATGTTCCACAAATATCAATATTAAAAAGGAGTTGCTAGCCTCTTAAATCTTCCTGTGGTCAGTCATCCTGTGTTGTTTGTTTAAGTCTGGGGCGTCCTCTCAGGGATGGAAGAAAAGTGGCAGAGTGGCCTACGAAAGCTAGACACTTCACAGCTGCCATCAGTGTTATTCATCATCTGGGTGAGACGGAATGGGGAACAGGATGGGACAGCCAGGATGGCTAAGTGAAAACGCACAGAAACCACACCCTCTGTTTGTACGCTGCTTGGGTTCTTGGGTAATGGAAGAGTACTGTTAAGTGCTTAAAGCCCTGGCCTGGTGACTCCTCCAGCTTCATTCCTGTGATCTTCACAACCTCTCTGTGTAGAATTATTGTTGGGACCATTTGGAGTCCTGGCCTCCAGCTGCTCTTTCCTTCTGATTTGAGCTACTAAAAGCTGTGTCAAAGTTGTTTACCAGCTCTGCTTCACGAGCACGTGTTGCCTTGACCTTGAGGATCAGAGGACAAGGTTTTCACCTGTTGGCCAACCTGACTGTTGGGTAGATAAGCCTCCACGGTGCTATTGAATAAAGGGCTGCTTACCAGTGACTAGAGGTCCACGTCTCTGTCTCTCTGTCTGTCTGTCATTGTGTGTTTCAATTCCACAAAGCTCGGGAACTGTATGGTAGTGCATAGAGCACAGACAGGCTTGGTGTGTGGCAATTATGATCCCACTACATCGATGAGAACACAGAGATTAAGAGGAATTTATCACACAAAGGTTGGTAACGGCATAGGTGGAAATCGAGCCTTCCTGATAGCTACTGTGCTTTTTCTTCACAGGAAATAGGACTAGAAACAAATCAATCAAACCCTGTGTTTAAAGGCACATCACAGAGGGCTTACTCCAAACTAAGTTAGCCACTGGGCATTGGTGGCGCACGCCTTTAATCCCAGCACTTGTGAGGCAGAGGCAGAGACAGGTGGATCCTGGCCTACAAGAGTTAGTTCCAAGACAGGCTCCAAAGCTACAGAGAAACCCTGTCTCGAAAAACCAAAATAAATAAATAAGTAAATAAACAAATGAATGAATGAATGAAAAAGAAAAAACAAAGTTAGCCTAAGAAACCCCAATGGTTCACAGCAACTCTAATGTATTCACCTTTGCAGGGCATTGCTGGCTATATCAGATGCCTTCATAAGCGTTTGTAGAAATAAAAGATACGTTGTAGTCATATGCTTCTTTGGAATGCTCTTTTTGTAACGGAAAATGTTTGTTGTACGTCCACAGTTCCATTCTGAAACATTACAATGGTCAAATGTGCTGTTCATTAGTATTTTATCTTGCTCAGCTACTTCATAACGGGGCTGTGAAATCCAAGCTATATATTCTCCGGAGCAGTTGACTTGATTCAGATTCAAGGGTTTTCGGGAGCGGCTTAAAAACATTTCCAAGCACAGCCTTTTATCCGCGGCAGCAATAGGCAAGTGGATCTCGCGGAGTTCGAGGCCAGCATTTTCCAGCGAGTCAGCGCGAGTTCCAGACTCACTAATAGCTAAATGGTGAGACCTAACCTTTAAAACAAAAGTCCACTAGAACGGTAGTTTAACCAGATCTTTGGTTTAGCTTTCCTTCGCGGAAGGCTTCATATCCAGATGACGGCGACTTGCGCGAGGAGATTTGAGCCTCGGCGCTTGCCTTCCTCCCTCCTGCAGCGGCGTCGGTCGCGCCTGCGCCCTGAGTCCCCAGAGGCGGCTACGCGGAGCCGGTGGACTGCGCGGCGGATTCTCTTCGATTCGGGAGTTGCAGCCACCTTCGCCTCCACCATGAGTCGCAACTACAATGATGAGCTGCAGTTCTTGGACAAGATCAATAAAAACTGCTGGAGGATCAAGAAGGGCTTTGTGCCCAACATGCAGGTGAGCGGGGCCGGGGTAGCGGCCTTCGGGGCTGTGGCCTGCGGGGCGAGGGTAGCGGCCTTCGGGGCTGCGGGCAGCGCTTCCGCCGCTAACCGGCCTCCTCCGCCCCGCGCCGGCCGGGCCCCCCACAGGGTCCGGGTCTGCTCCCCAGCGAGGACAGACACAGTGGGGCGGTTCACGCGTGTTTTCCCCACGCATGTATTGTTCCCGGTCTTCGAGATGCCCGAGACCCCTAGGACCCGTCCGTACCCATCCAGGAAGACTGCTCTGACTTCGTGTCCAGTCTGCTTCTTTTTCTCTGCCTGGTTGATGTGGGAGCAGGAGACCAGGGGCTAAAACCAGGCCGTTTGTGCTCATGGCTTCCGTTAAAGTCGAGGAAGAAAACCTTTGGAGGTTTTGGCACGTGTGTTAAGTGACTCGGTCCCTTAAGTGCCAGGGGAATGCAATAAAGGTTTGCAGTCCTCGGTATTAGTAAAGAAGTTTCTGATAGGCCTTGCATGGTAGGTAGCTCAGGCCTGTATTCTCATCAGCACTGAAGACGGAGGGCGGAAGGCCCTATTAGCGGATACTACTGGGCAAGAGAACCGTCTAGGATGCCTACGGGACCAGCCAAAGCAACCTATTTAAGACTCTCAAAAATCACAAAATTTCCTTTTAGCCGTTCCTTTCATTTGACACGAAACAAAATGTCTTTGAGCCCCATTACTTTGCAAGATGCTAGGAAGAAAAAGACCACAGCAATAAAACAATGTTATTTTTCCTTTATTTTGTGGAAAGAGGGGGAGTTGGTTAGTAGATTTACCTGCTAGTTTTTTATTTGACACATGAAAATTATACATTATTTAGGACACCATGTTTTTTTTTTTTTTTTAAAAAAAACTGTGTAAGTTGCAAAATAGCAAAATCATAATAGACATACCTCAGAAGTTCATGATCACTGAAGTGGCAGTTTGAATGTGGCTGTCTTAAATATTCATAGCCAGAGGTGGTGTAGATTTTTAGTTTTTTTTCTGATTTGGAGATAGTTGCTGAGATTTCACTGGCTGAATATTCGTGATTTGAATCCAGATCTGAAATGCTCTAAAATCTTCCAGGTTCTTATGAGATGTAACAGGGGAGTTTGATGCAGAATAAACGATGTAAACCCAACACGTAGCTCATACATTCGTAGCGCATACATTCTGCCCACCTCGTCTGTCCGTGATGAACTTGGGTTTAGACGATGTTTGCCTTTCTCTTGTATCAGGTTGAAGGGGTGTTTTACGTGAATGACTCTCTGGAAAAACTGATGTTTGAGGAATTAAGGAATGCCTGTCGAGGCGGGGGTGAGTACACTTTAGGCTCCTGTATGGGACGGTAAAGCCTCCCCTGTACCCTGAGTAAAGAACTCATCCAGAGTAAAACACTTTCAAGGAAAGCGCCTGTTTGTGACCGCCTGTTTAGCATGCTGCTGGTTAAGGGTTTGGAGCCCGGGGCTAGTCTATTCTCATCCTGCACCCGCTGTGTCTCAGGCACCTCATTAGGTCTTTTACAGTGATTGTCCATGCCATGTTTGTAATAACGAAACAGATAATAACAGTATTATCTGTCTTTTGTAGACGGGCAAATTCAGTGAACTTAAGTGATTTTGTTTCTTTTTATATTTTTATTCTATGTGCATTGGTGTTTTGCCTGCATGCATGTCTGTCTGGAAGGGTGTCGGAATCCTTGGAGTTACTGACAGGAGCCGCCATATGGGTGCTGGAAATTGAACCCAGGTCCTCAGGAAGAGCAGCCAATGCTCTTAACTCTTGAACCATCTCTCCAACTAAGTGATTTTTAACTTGTCCTTGGTCACAATTTCAAATCTGAATTCCTGATTTTAAAACCAGTGCTCCCTTATGCATGCACATGTGCCTGTATGCTTCTTAGATACATTTATTAATGCCACATTGTAAATGATACTGACTGGACTCGGGAGTGAGTGATGATGGGCAGGTGCAGGACTTGTTGCCTTTCCAAGTTTTACTTCATCAGCACTCCTGATTCTATTAAGGATGAAGGTCATTAACCCATTCCTACCCAAATTTCCTAGTAAACCTGGGTGTAGGGGGGTGTCATGGGGACCCAAGCATTCTTAATAAGGATTTGAAGCATCTCAAGAGGACAAGGCCAGCTCCTAACTGGCTGGTATGCTAGTTAGGTGAACATCAGGGTTGACACCTGTCATGGCTACCCCTCTTCCCTCACTTGAGCGTGTCCCCTTGTGTTAAGTGGCACTGCTACAGGCCTTGGCTGTGGCTCAGTGAGGAAAGTGCCAGCTGTGTAAGCATGAAGACCTGAGTTGGAATCCCTAGTATCCACGTCAGAGCCAGGTGCCAGAGACAGGCAGAGCTTGCTGCCCAGTCAGTCTAACCAGTAACTGGTTCAGTGAGAGACCCTGCCTCAAAACATAAGGTAGAGGGCTAGGGAAAAAGTGCTTGCTACACAGCCCTCACCACCTGGGTTCACTTCCTAGAGCCCGTGGAAAGATAAGAGGATAGAACTGGCTCCGCCAAGCTGTCCCCTGGCCTCCTTGTACATGCACACACCTACACACAGCGAGTAGATAAAAGTTTTAAATAAAGTGGAGAGACTTTGAGGAAGATACCGATTGTGGGCTTGTGGCCTCCACGTACACACACACATACATACATACACACATACATACATACACACACACACACATGTTTAAAAAAAAAAAAAGCAGCTGCTAACATTTGACAAAGCTGGACTTGCCCTCCATCCGTCCTGACTCTCAAGTCATTGTTTTGTTTTCTCAGCTCTTCCCCCATTGCCCTTTGCCCTTTAGGTTAACACCACAGCTGTTTTGGGGTAGTTTTGTTTTGAGACAGTCTTGATCCCTTAAAACTGGTGTTACAGATGGTCAGAGACGGTTGTAAGCTGCCATGTGGGTGCTGAGACTCGAACCTGGATCATCTGCAAAAACAGCGAGTGCTTTTAACCATTGAGCATCTCTCCAGCTCCCACTGCTAATATTTTTAATGACTACTATGAGTTATTGAGAGAGTAATTTTATACTGGCGGCATAAAGATTAATAGTTAATGTTTTCTATCCCTCGTGCACAGAACACTGATGAGCATGTCTGGTGTTCTGCCCCTCCTGTGAACGTGCTTCTGGTGTGCACAGAGCACTGGCGAGCGTGTCTGGTGTTCTGCCCCTCCTGTGAACGTGCTTCTGGTGTGCACAGAGCACTGGCGAGCGTGTCTGGTGTTCTGCCCCTCCTGTGAACGTGCTTCTTGACGTTTCCTCCCCACTTTCCTTTCCACCATCCTTCTCTGCTCTGTAACCAGAACCTCTGCCCCTTCATGTACTTAAGTCGTGCTAAAAATTAAATGTGTCATTTTTTTCAGACTGAGGTGTGTTTGTTTCAGGTGTCGGTGGCTTCCTGCCAGCCATGAAGCAGATTGGCAACGTGGCAGCCCTGCCTGGGATTGTTCATGTGAGTCAGAGCCAGAACCTTGATCATTCACATTGTGTGTGATTGTATGTAAGTTTGCTGGATGAGTGAAGGGCTCCACCTAACGGATGCTGGTGTCATTTAGACGGTGACCTTTGCCTGTACCAGTAACACTTAGATTTAGGACTGAGGCCCGGTAGCCCCTCTGTCTCTTAATCTAAGAGTTTGGAGCGGCTGTTGTGAAGGGATTTAGATCTTACCGTTGTGCATCGTTACTCCTTCAGCAGTGCACCGTTCTAGGTCTCACTGTGAGTCTGTGTGAGGATGATTGAGAAAGAAAGGAAGAGGACTGCCCAGCTGGCTATGCTAGCGATGCTGGGGCAGTGATGGTGAATAGAGTGGAGCTGGGTGGTGTGCGGTGGGGGGGGGCTCCACTAGCCTAGCGTTCAGATTTCACCTTCAGAGGAGAGTGCTGAGAAGTAGATCCATTTACCAGACTTTTATGGGGCTTCTTCATTAACAGTGCGGTGCTTTGGGGAGGGTAGGTGGGGGTGTTGATAAAATGAGGGGGCTCCAGTATCTATGAACTCATATTTCTGGTTATCTCCATGTCTCACCATATATGACGGCTTTTCTGTATGGCATGGCGTACCATCCTTTACTCGGCCCCTGTATTTGAAATGTGCTATATTGATGCCATCAAATAGATTTCACTTGTGAAAATCCTCATTACCTGTATAAACCATGGAACAGCTACAGCTTGCCAGTGTCTTGAGAGAATTTAAAAAGTAACAGCACTGCACTTAGCATGTGATTCTCTGGCAGCCTGTCACTCTGAGACTTCCCTGTTGGCAGTCAGACTATGAAATGATGTCCTCGGCAGTATTCAGCTTTGTGAACAGGTTCATAGACAGATAGTTCACCATGGGGCTCAGAGTGAAGGCAGAGTGGAACAGCTGTGTTTCAGGTCTCGTTCTTTTCCAGCGGTCCATTGGGCTTCCTGATGTTCACTCAGGCTATGGCTTTGCCATAGGGAACATGGCTGCCTTTGATATGAATGACCCTGAAGCCGTGGTATCCCCAGGTAAGGTGCTGGTGTCATGTGGCTTCTCTGTGTTGTGTGGCCTTTCTGAGACAGTGTGCATTTCTCAGTCTCATTCAGTGATTTCTTGTTTTCTACATTAAAGCTGCTTATGGATAGGTAGGCTATTAAAATATCAATCAAATCATTTACTGAAAACTTTGGGGATTTTTATCAGATGCCAGGGAATATCAGACATTGGCTGCAAAAGAAACATTTCTCTGACAAAATTTCTCTTGGTGACTCAGCTACTGCATAGGTAAATGTGTCCAGTGTCAGCACTGAGCGTTATTGGGAGGAGAGAATGAAATGAGCTAGACTCAGTACTTCCTCGCATCGTTTCTGTTCTAACACTAGTATTTTTCATTAATTTCTAGGCTAGTGTAGGAGCCAGGCCTTCATCATGGTGTGCTCACACATGTGCCATTCTACGTTGTCCATCCTTTCTCCTCCCCAGCTACCCTGTCCCTCCTCTAGCTGCTTGCCTTTCTTCCCCCCAAGTTAAGTCCACACACCTCAGTCTGCTTGCCTACGGCTTGTGTTCTGTTCCCTAATTCCCACCTCCCTCAGATCCCTTCCTCCCCCTCATGATCCTCTTTCTAGCTTTATGACCAGCAAACATGTAATACATTGATATACACAATTTTAAATTTAGGTTCCACTTATGAAAGAAAACATTGGATATTTGTTTTTCTGAGTCTGGCTTACTCTGCTTAACAGTAATTTCCAGTTGCATCCATTTTCCTGCAAATATTATTTTCTTTACGGCTGAATAAAATTGCACACGTACTCCATTTTCTCTATACGTCAGTTTGTTGATGGCCATCTAGGCCAGTTCCACTTCCTAGCTGTTATGAGTAGTGAGACTGTTAACTGACATGCAAATGTTGCCCAGGAGTGGTGGAGCAGGGTCATAGAGTGGGTCTGTCTTCAGGAACCTCCATACTGATTTCCACAGTGGTGGCCCAGTTTATATCCTCACTGTAGAGTATAAGGATTCACCAGCATTTGCTGTTGTTTCCTTGATGGTGGTCACTTACTAGGTAAGGTAGAATCACCTCTAGTTGTTCCTTGTCAGTCATCTTTATAAAGCTGGAAGGCATGGTTTTCAGAAATACTTAGATCTAAAAATTTTGTACTAACTGGTAAATAGGGTTTCTTCTATTGCTGTGAAGAGACACATGACCGTGACACCTCTTACAGAGGAAAACATTTCATTGGGACTGCTTTACAGTTTCAGAGGTGTAGAGTTTCAGAGGTGTAGTCCATTGTCATGGCAGGAAGCATGGCAGCATGCAGGCAGACACGGTGCTGGAGAAGGAGCTGAGATTTCTACATCTTGATCCACATACAGCAGAAGGAGACTTTGTGCCATACTGGGCATAAAGACCTCAGTTTGCCTCCACAGTGACACACTTCCTCCAACAAGGCCACACCTCTTAATAGTACCATTCCTTATAGGCCAAGCATTCAAACACATGAGTCTGTGGGGGCCATTCCTATTCAAACCACCATAACTGGAAATTCCATCTTTGTATGCAGATACGCTATAGTCTTAAATGCACAAATTAGGAAAATTGTGTGAAATATTTTTTTAATTTAATTAATTTAATGTGTATGGGTATTTGGCCTGTATGGATGTGTGTGCCTGGTACCTGGGAAAGGCAAAAGAGGACATAACAGATCCCTTGGGACTGAAGAAGTTGTGAGCTACCTTGTGGGTGTTGGGAATCAAACTGGGGGCCTCTGGAAGAGCAGGCAGTGCTCTTAACCACTTAGCCATCTCTCCAGCCTCCTGGAATATCTTTAAAAGTTGGAGAAAATACAACGGTTTAGATGTACAAAAGACAAAACATTGGAAATTGTTGTTGTTTTTTTGAGAAAAAAAAGATGCACAGTAGGAAAGGTTGGCTGTTTGAGAAGACTGGCAGTTATCAGCCTCTTGTGAGACAAACGGAGGCAGGTTACTACTCCCGTCCGTCTGTCTGCCACATTCCCCACTGTGGGTGAGGTCCCTTAGTGCATGTGTTGCTTGCATTGTTGCAGTGTTGACAGACTTGCCCAGCAGCCAGTCACTTTGATGGCTACATTAAAACATGCTTGTCCTTGAAGGAATGTGCCCTCTTTTAACTCCATATTAGTAGTGAGGAACTTCAAGTAATGCTCTGATTGTCTGATTATTTTGCTAAGATTTGACGTAACTTCTGTATGTTGTAGGTGGTGTCGGATTTGATATTAACTGTGGTGTGCGCTTGCTCAGAACCAATTTAGATGAGAGTGATGTGCAGCCTGTGAAGGAACAACTTGCCCAAGCTATGTTTGACCACATTCCCGTTGGTGTGGGATCAAAAGGTGTCATCCCAATGAATGCCAAGTAAGAGCACGGGGTCCTGGTAAACGGAAAGGGGGGGAACCATGCGGCTCAGCTTTGCTTCCAGTTTAGACATGTACTCAACCACTTGTTAGGAAGCGCAGATTAGTGCTTTGTAAAGCGTTAGCTCCAGCCCATGTTCATTAGAACAGCCCTTGAGCGGGGCTTACTGGCATACACACCTGCAGTCCCAGCCTCTCGGGGGACTGACATGATGGGATCATTTTAACCCAGGAGAATAAAGCTATCATGGGTAACATATAAGACTCTGTGTCTACAATTTAAAAAGAGAAAGCATGTAGCCAGAAAGAGGACTCAAGTTAAGACTGTTGGCTGCTCTCCCAGAGGCCCAGGGTTCAATTCCCAGCACCTACACAGCAGCTCACAACTGTCTGTTATTCCAGACCCAGGGCATCTGACACCTTGTGGGTACTGTATGTACAGTGCCTATGTTGGAGCGAAACTCC